GTATTAGAGAGCGCGCGAGAGAGAAACAGCATGAGAGGGGAGAGGGTCAGAGGGAGAAGCAGGCTCGCCGCTGAGCTGGGAGCCCGATGTGGGACTCGATCCCAGGACTCCAGGATCATGACCTGAGCCGAAGGCAGTCGCTTAACCAACTGAGCCACCCAGGCGCCCCTGAGAAACCTTTTTTTAAAAAAATTTTGAGATACTGTTAATCCTTTTGGATTTTTTCCTATATTTTCTAATATTAAAAACTGAGGACAGCTCAAATTCAAAATTAACTTTATTTTCTGTCAAAGACCATGATTGCTCTTTGAATATTTCCCTTAGCTCTTCTAGTCCATCTCCTAAACTTGTCTATCCTGTCGAACAGCTTTTACAGTATTCATGAGACAAGGTCATATATCTGAGTGGTTATAGGTCATATATGAAATGCTTCATCCAAACGACCCATCCTTGGCCAGACCCAGAAAAAAAAGTCAAAACAGTATATGACCTTGGCATTGATCCAAAGGCTGCTATTGCTGGAAGCACCCAGAGGTCCTATCTGCTAGTAAGAAAATCGGAGCGCTTGCTCAACTCCCCGGAGTCCAGGCCCAGGAGTAGTGGTTATTGCCAGGATTACTAAAATGCCTTGTATATTCCTTCTTTCTCAATTCCCCAAAGGAAAAAGGCCCAGCCCCCAGGCCTGCTGGCTTCAGGGGCAGCACAGTGCTTGGATTACGTAGGTGCAGAGGGGCCTGGAGAGGGGCAGGGTGGGGGGCACGAAGAAAGAGCAGGTCTGAGACGGGTGACCCAGCCAGCCCGCGGGCCAGAGGGCTCTCTGGAAGCTAGAGCAGGGCAGGCCAGGGAGGGACAGGACGGTGGGGCTCAGACCCCAAAGGGCGTCGCAGGCCACGTTGCGAGCAGCACAGTGACATGTCCGGAGTGCACAGCGCTTTATAAAGGCCACGGGGAAAGCCAGGGCTCCTATGGAACCCATCTTGTCTGTTGCCTAGGTCGGACACAGCCACTCCTACCTGTGTCGCTGGCCCAGGCCGGGGGACTCGCGTTTTAGGTGGGTGGGTGGGGAATGGAGGCTTCGGATGGAGGGCGTCAGCGAGCTAGGACCGTAATGCTCCAGCCCAGGCGCGTAGAGAGCAAGACGATGCGGCGTGGCGCTGCAGCCGCCTGGACTCTGCAAAGCCCGGTGGAAAACCAAGAAAGCAACGAAGAGGTTTGGAGTAGCCATTACAGAAGGCCCAGTGGGATCGGTCTGCCCTAGGAAAGCCCGATTTTCCCCTTCCGCCGCCGCGCCCCAGAGGCGGAAATCCACCGTGAAAGCGTCTCCAGGGCTTCCGGTGCGTGGCCAGGGCGGGTCCGCGGCCAGCGCGGGTCCGCGCACGCGCCGTGGTTTGTTGCTGTAGGGAGGCGGGCCCGCGCACGCGCTTCGGTTTGTTGCTGTCGGGAGGCGGGCCCGCGCACGCGCCGCGGGCGGAGGTCCGTGAGGAGGCGAGCTACGCGCCCTGGCGGCGTGGCTGTTCCCTGCTGCCGCGGTTTGGGAGCAGAGGCCGGAGGGGACTGGAGCGCGAAGTCCGGGGGGCAGGCCCGGAGGTGCGCGGCCCTCCAGGGAACTGAGGCAGTCAGGCGGAGGTGCGCGGGTAGAACAGCGGTGGAAGAAGGCTGTCGGGGGCGCGTCCGCCTTCCGTTGCAGGGGACCGAAGCGCAAGGGGAGGGAGAAGGAAACAGCCGGAGTCTGAGGCCGGGACCGGAAGGACGGCGTGGGAGTCGCGCGGGCTCGCGGCCGGAAGCGCCGCAGGACGGAGAATAGGGCCGAGAGCTGTTTGAAGTGGTGATGGTCAGGAACTGTTCGAAATCTAGTGGAAGGCGCCGGACCACAGGTCAAAGACTTGGGCTAAGGAAGCGCAGGCAGGTGACGGAAAAAAGAAACCCTGTAGTTAGTTAGATAGATAGATGATAGATAGAGAGAGAGATATTCGGACTCCTGAAAGCCCCCACGTGAGAGAGAGCCGCGGCGGTAGCCGGGGGACTTTCCGTACGCGGCGGGAGCAAAGCCCGGCGCTGGGCGCTCAGGCGGCATGCAGCGGGAGGCTTTGAGATGTCGCGGTTCTTGGTTCTGAAGGCGACGTGCCACCTCTCTTGAGCTCGCAGATGGAGGGTGAGGCGGAGCGCTGTCCTCTGGGTGTGTTTACGTGCCAGCTCTGTGCCCTGACAGCTCCGTACAGCTACGTGGGGCAGAAGCCCCCTGACACCCACTCTGTCATGTGAGTACACCGCGCTTTTTGGGCCGCTGGCCGAGCTGCTTGGCCGGGGCCTCGCCTGAGTCGGACATGTGGCGTGGGAGTCGTGTTTTAGGCCCATCCCTCCCCAGGCTCTGGACGCCGCAGGGGTGACCTGCGGAGGCACAGGGCAAGGCCCCAGGGCCTTCTGGCTCCTCCAGAACCTCCAGGCCCCTCCCTCCCCCCTCGGCCCAGAGACCAGCACCTGCTCCAGCTGTGAGGTAGAAGCGCTGTGGCTCTGGCTGAGGCAGCTCAACTCCTGGAAGTGAAAGGCCCCGTGGCAGCCTCTTCATCTGGGGCTGCGCCTTGTTGCCATTCCTCCTGGGTCCTGGTGACGTACTTTCTTAGTGGGAAGCCCGCCTGCCCTCTTGCCTGAGGGAAGTGGGTCCTAAGGACCAGCTTCTCATGAATCTGCCCAGAACCGACCTTGAGTAGAGCCAGTGGGTTCTGGAGCTTGACTCTTGACCTCTGACTCGTCCTTCGTTGAATGCCACATCGTGGGGAAGCTGACCAGTACATCGCTCACCCAGTATGTTACTCACATGGGATAGGTGGCAGGGGCCAGGGCTTTCTTGTGGGTGGGTACCTCTGCTGACCAGGAGCACCATCATCACGGACCCCTGTTGGTCTCCTTTGATGTGCGGGGTGAGGCCAGTACCTTACGCAGGGTGTAAGGCGCCCTGGTTCTCCCTGCGTGCTGGGAGCACTGCTTGGGAGTGGGTGCTGGGAGTGCAGGGAAGGGCTTCGAGAGCTCGGACGGACCTTGTGCTCCCTGCCCCCACCCCAGCGGGCAGGTGGGGTCTGGGGCCTTGCATTGCAGCAGCTGGGGAGGAGTGGTTCTCCCCACCACGGCTGTTAGAGCCGAGAGCAGCTCTGATTTCAGTTCCAGCCTCTCCCCGATGGCTTGCCTTTCTGTTACTACTCGGTGGCACAGGGAGGACCGGCCCCTCCTCCCATGAACCCACCCAGGTGTGTGGGGGGCCCAGGGGAGGTCCATTCCATGCCGCTTCCAAGCTTCCATTAGTAGAAGTTCAGGCCGTGCTGACCTCTGGCGTCACTTACTGTCCTGCAGCCTCCTGGAGGAGAGTTACATCATGAAGGACCCATTCACCTCAGACAAGGACAGGTTCCTGGTCCTTGGCTCAAAGTGCAGTTTGTGCAGCCGGCTGGTGTGCGTGGGCCCGGTGGGTAAGCTGCGTGGGCTGGGGCTGCCTCCCCTCCCTCCCTCCCTCCCTGTGGCTGGGACCCCACACATGATCGTGGGAAAGGTGACCTGTGAGCCTTCCCCAAGGATGGCATGAGCATCAGCCTCTCTTTGTGGAGGTGATCCTAGGAGCCCTCTCAGTCACATGGTGGGGGGCCCGGGGATTCTTGGAGGCCAGCTGGTCCACCTCATTATGGTTGGGTCCTGCAGCCAACAGAGGTGAGCAGATAGAGGGGCGAGCTGGGGTCAGTCAGAGGGTCTCAGTGTTGGCTGCGGAGTGGGTGCTGACAGTTCTCCCCCTCCCAGCCATGCCAGTGGCTGTTGTGCTTCTCTCCATGGGACAGTGACCTTCTTCCTGCTTGTTCTTGGAGGGACCTTCTGGAGGAAGGAACTGTGCTTTCTTGAGCATTAGCTGTGGGTCAGGCCCTGTGATCGGGGCCTGTTTTCCCAGTGCAGGTTTCTTCAATCCTGCCCCAAACCTAGCTGTGCAAAGCAGTATTGCCCCCATCTGATAGGTGAGGACACAGGGTTGAGGAGGCTGAGTAGGCCCAGGCCACCAGGTTAGTGAGCCTATTGTTGGACAACCCAGAGGTGGGTGGAAGTGGGCTGCGTGGCTGAGGTGTGGCCCCTGTAACCCGAGCCGTACAGCCGGACAGCAGTCCCTGGGCATTCTGCTAGGGGGCAGAGTACAGGCAAGGCTGCTGCATCACAGACTGGGTTTAAACATCAGCCTCTGTCAACGTCAGGGTGATGAGATTTGACAGGGTGCGACGAAGCCTTAGCAAGGCAGAGGCCTGCGTGTTCGAGGACATGCGGCGGCTGGTGAGGACTCAGCAGGAGAGAAGCAGTTGGGAAATGGAAAGGGGGGTTGGGCACGGGGGAGGGGAGAAGCCTTAAATGCCACACTTACACATTTGGGCTGCACTTGGTGAGCAGAGGAGAGGGTGCTCCATATGGTATCCGAGAGCTCCAGTGTTCTTGGATGAAGTGCTTGGTTGGTGGCGAGTCCCCTCTCTTACATGGGAACAGATCTCTTCCGAGAACTGCAGGAAGGACAGCCTTGTCTTAGCTGAGGCACACTCTGAGCTGCTGGAACAAAGAGACCCCCTAAACACAGTGGCCTGATCATGACAATCTTCACTTTTTGTATGTCTAAGAGTCTAGAGCAGGTGGCGCCACGCCATTCTCAAAACACAGCATCTGCTGGGTCCGCAGTGGCTGCCTCAGCTCCCACCATCATACCTATGCTCCCACCCGCCGGAAGAGACAGGGAGCACATGCCCATTCCTTCAAAGGGCACAACCAGGAGGCGGCACAGAGCTGCCAATGACACAGACCCAGTCCTGTGGCCACACCCAGTTGCAGAAGGGGCTGGGAAAGTAGTCTTTTTTTTTTTTTTTTTAAAGATTTTATTTATTTATTTGAGAGAGAGAATGAGATAGAGAGCATGAGAGCGGGGAGGGTCAGAGAGAGAGGCAGACTCCCTGCCGAGCAGGGAGCCCGATGTGGGACTCGATCCCGGGACTCCAGGATCATGACCTGAGCCGAAGGCAGTCGCCCAACCAACTGAGCCACCCAGGCGCCCTTTTTTTTTTTTTTTTTTAAAGATTTTAGGGAAAGTAGTCTTTGGACAGGGCCCTGGGCAATGAGTCTCAGGAGTTGAGTGGCAAAAGATGGGCACAGGGGAGAATGGCCGCGGTTGGACAGATCTGACCTCTCGCCCAGACCAGCCACTCACCAGTGGCCTTTTTGGTCTGTGGGGCTGCGCCCAGCACCGGTGGTCACCAAGCCCCTGTCACACTGCTGTGATAACCAGGAGAGGGAGGGATCTAGAATCTCTGACAGTTTAGGTGTGGCCCTGGCTCTAGCTTCTCGTTGTTTCCACGTCCCCCGTGACGGAGCATGGCAGTCCCCAGAGTCTTTCCACTCCATCCACGCTCTCTCACCCGGGTTGACCCAGGCCTGCATTGCCTTGTTCTCTCTGACACCTTCGCCAATCTCACTGGGTGATTCCCACATGCTCAGAACCCCCCGATACCCCACTGCCTGCAGGGGCTGACAGGGGTCTCTTGCCTACTTGCTCTCTCCTCCCTGGCGGCCCTCCATTGTGTCTTTTTCTCTTAGGTGATGACCGCGTTCTTGGAGGTGGCTGGCCAGCCCCTGGGCCCTGCTCTCCCTCGTGCTGTTCTGGCCCTGGCCAGCCCCTGCCAACATGGCCCCCCAGCTGCCCCTGCCTAGCACCCCCCCCTCCCCCCCGCCGCCCTGTACGGGTTGAAGGACTGGCCTCTGGGAGAAGCTGCACCCCCTGCTCTGTGGTACTTAGCCCCCATCCTTCCCCCATCCTCTTTCAGGAATGCAGTTTATTCTACTCCAAGAGGTTTTGCCTCCCCTGTGTCCAGGAAAACATGGATGCCTTCCCTCAGGAAATCCGGCAAGACTTGGAGAAAAGGAAAACTCCATCAAAGAGGCCGGCCAGCCAGCCTGGCTCTCGGACATGAGTGCGGCTGGGTGCCAGGTTGGCATTAGCACCTAGCACAGAGCTTCTGGGCTGGCAGGGTCCCTGAAGCCTGGGTCAGGGATGGGGCTGAGTTGGGAACTATCGTACCCTGCCTTGTTCCGGGGCAGGCAGGAGCAGCGTGTGCAGCTGGAGCGAGCTGGGGCCCAGCCTGCAGCAGGAAGGTGATCGGGAGTCGGGCAGAGAAGGCACTCAAAAGGCAGGCCTTGGACCAGATATCCTGCAGACCTAACCGTGTCCAGAGCCCCCTTGATGCTGAGACTGCAGGGCAAGAACTGAGAAATGGCTCAGAACTGGCACAAAGGGAAGTCGAGGCTGGGCCTGCTGGCCCTTCTGCTCTCCCCCTGGACCTGGGGCTCTAGGCCTTCCCGCAGGGTCATCCCCTGGCTCCTGCTTACACACGGCTGGACCTGGAAGGCCCTTGTGCCCTTCGCATGATTCATCAGATCCAGGAGTGCCTCCAGGTGACATGCTACTCTGCCTGGCCCTGAGGACACAGGAGCGAAGGGACAAAGCCCACTGTCCTGGTCTAGTGTGAGGAGGCCCTCTGGTCACGCTGGGTGGTCATGCTGTCCGTGCTTATGCGGAGGCAGGACGGCTGGGGTGGGGACTCCTGTCTTCCCCATCCTGGGGAGTGAGTGTTCATGCGGTGAAGATGTCACTCTTTGGGACGGTTCACAGGGAGGTGACCTGTGGGAAGGTGCCTGAGGTGTGTGGGGAGCTGCAGGCGTGATTGGGGGTCTGGGGGCAGTGGAATTTTATTTCACACCCTCGTGCTTGGAAAACGTTTTAAATCTTGGCCATGTGTTAGATCCATAATTAAATACCCAAAGAACCGGTTAATTTTTTGAAAAGTAATCCTTCCCTGGAAACATTTGCGAGGCAGATGTTCTCCTTGGTACCCTGGATCTGGCATTGGTTGGGGGCTGGGGTGTTGCCACGTGCAGCCTCTTCCATCCTATCTGTCCCGCGGGCTCCGGCTCTGGCCCCTATAGGCCCAGTCCCATTCCAAGGTAGAGCAATGCCCTTCCCCTGTCTTCCCTTCCCTCGTGCAGGGGCTCACAGCTTGAGGTGCTGGCTTGCCCCTTTCCATGGGGGACCCTGCACCAGCCTTGCAGGCTACTGTAGGCGGCCCTGGGGCACTCCTCCCCCACGGGCACCCCTCCTGCGGGCTCCCCTGCCCCCGTGGCCCCATGCCGTGGGGGACACACTGAATGGCTCGTTGGCCTCTGTCTGCTGGCTCTCAGGGCTGGAGCGGCTCTGTCTTCACCTGTAACTACTGGGAGGCCAGCTGATGCTGCCCCCGGGGCGGGGGGGGGAGGGCAGACATGCATTTGAGGAGAGAATGAAGAAAGAGCTTTTATTGGCTGATGTGTGCACTGGGTTTTATTTCCTGATGCTTCCCCTGCATCACATTACTTTAGACAAATGGCTGTCATTTTGGGGCCACAATGTCCTAGGTCCATTCGAACCGAAGGACAAAAGGACTAGAGGTGAAGACCCCTGGGGGAGTGGGGCGGGGGCTGCTCTGGGCTGAGGGCAGACGCTATAGCCGGGGATTTTCAAGCCCAATGTTCATCCTACGGCATCACTCAGAACTCACCAACCAATTTTAAAAAAGAGTTTTATTTTTTAAAACCATTAAGGCAACACTATACCCTGAAATTAACTCCTTACATTCATCAGTCTTACAGTAGGACATTCCAAACCTGTACATTCCCATAAATTCAGGATATTAATCAACATACGTGATCAATTCAATCTCCTAGCAGGAAACAGAATAAGACCGAAGATTTTTTAAAAATTAAAGTTACAGTCATTTTCTAATTGCTTGGAACCGCTATTGGTTAATGTGACTCGGAAGATTCCATTTGCTCTTCTGTGCACACCCCTGTTCCCTGAGGCCCTGGATGGATGCCCTCCTCTCCAGACCCAGAGAGAGAACCCCAGAACCTGCTCTAAAAGATCTGCTTTGGAACTGCTCCTGTTTAGTATGAAGACGAGGGGTCTGTCAGCCCCTGAATACTTGGGAGAGTATAAGGCACCAGAGTGGTAACAAACACACCAAGAAACCAAGCTCAGTCTTGCTTTGGAAATCGGCATCCATCTGATGTTCTGACATGTGTCAGTCAGACACTCTCAGTGCCATGGCCCTGTGGACATCAAGAAGTTCTGCCGAGATACTGCGAACGACCCACAGGAGCCTCACGGGGTCTGTGGTTTCCATTGTATGCTTCGGGCTGGGCCATCTGGGGGCTGCCAGAGAACCAGCGGTGCAAATATCCCACCCGAAGATTTCAGATTGCCTGAGTGCTTTGGTAATAACCCACAGGTAATAATTTCCTGAAGAACAGACCGTGACCCACGACCCAGGAATAGTTCAGGTCTTCAGCAGGACACTGCTGGGAGCAGTAAGTGACTCTGGACCTGGGTCTCTGGCCCCCTTGCCAGAAGAGACGGTGAAAACAAACTCGCTTGTACTCGCATGTGACTCATGACGAAGGGAACAGATTTACACGGGGAAATAAAATTCTGCATGGCTTGGGAGAGACAAAAAGCTGTGTGTGTGTGCACATGTGTGTGCAACTGTATGTCAGTTATATTCCAGCATCCTTTGTGTTTCCAGTAGGTTCCATGAGCCAGGCTACTAAGAGTGTGTGTCAACTAATACTGATTTCAAAAGAATCCAAATCTTTGTTATTAGATGCATGATTGTAAGTTAGTAAAATACACTAAAATTTTTCTTAAACTTGAATCACAGTATTTAAGATATAGCTATTAACATAGTTCATTTTACCATACAGTGTAGGAAAAATGACAAACACAAATACTGTGACCTTACTGGAAAGGGTACTGAGTGGTATTCATCTATTGTGAGGTACTTTTTTTTTTTTCCTTTGTTTTTTAGGCCTGAATAAAAGGAACAGACTGTCTGTGCTTTTAAAAAGAGAAGATAGTTTCCAAAAGTGAATGATTTTACTTTGGAAAGATCGGTCACTCACTTGTCTTCAGGGCCCGAAGCTTGACCTCCCTGCCCTGAGGAGGCCATGCTGAGGCCGGAGGACCCCCCTGGGGGCAAGAGCCCTCACCTCCGGGCTCATGGTGGAGGGCGGGTCCCTGCACTGGTCTCCATGGTGCCGCAGTTTGTCGAATTAGCAAAGTTTAGATGTTGGGTGTGGGGAGAAGGGTAAGGGAGGAGGAGGCTAGTATATTCCTTCTCCAGAGAAGCACTTGGGGAAGTTCTTCACATTTGACCCAAAATAGCAAACATTTTAAATTAAAAAAACCTGATCCAGGTCTTAACCCTATCTCTGATGTTAAAAGAAAAAAAGTTTCTTAGTGGTTTTTCTTTTTTTTTTTTGGCAAATAAGGCATTGAACAGCTAGGGGGCCACTGGAGTTCTTGACATTCTCCATTGCTTCAATCAAGACGTGACATTGAACATGGGTGCAGTTTGGTCTGTTCTGTTTGGCAAGGAATTCCAAAAGGATGTGGCTGTATGTATTTCAGCTGAGCCACATTATATGGTCCCCGTCCTCCCCACCCCCGTTTTCCCGAGGTGGGGTAGTTACACGGTGACACTTGTCTTTGTCTCAGCCTGAAATGTTGAAAAGCAAATGGTCTGCTGAAAGCCCCATGCTAGACCTGAGAAGGTGTCCCAGGCCTCAGGCTGCTAGCCTCTCAGTTGCTGTCCGGATACGTGGGCCACACCCACAGCCTTTATGAGCTTCAGCCCACTCCATGGAAGTATTAAGACACCCAGCTGCACTCCACAAAACAGCATCACGGAAAGAATTCTGTAATTCTTTAAACTAACGCATGAAGACTCATTGTCTTTTCAACTTTCAATATCCCCTCTAATTTGCATTGTGGTTTCCAGAGAAATGTAATGGATCTCCTCTATCCTGAGTCAGAGGAAAGTTCACTGCCTTTATCCTTACTCTGGTGTGTGTCACAGGCTGGGGGTCAATGACCATTTTCCTGAATTGTGTTAAAATGGCATATATATATCCCAGCAAAAAATGTAGACTCAACCTTTGGAGCCTGGCAAGAATCCTTAATCCCAGGGGGAACCCTATACATCAGCTTGGACCAAGAGTTAAGAGAAGCTGGGCCACTTTTTTTTAAAAGGAGAAGAACAAGTACAGAGAGCCTGGCTTTGAAGTCACCCGGTGCTGGGCTGTGCCCGTGCTATAAAGACTGGGTACGTGGGAAGAAACTTCCACGGACACTTAATAATCAGTAAGCCCTCGGTGGCTGGCACCGATCGTAGCTGGTGACTTCCACAGACAGTGGGATGTCCTTGCCATCCTGAATGGACACACTGCTGTGAACTTAAAGGCTTTCAGTAAGTGACCCCTCCAGGAACACCTGCAGTGCAGGTTGGTCAAAACAGTGTACCCCTCTTGAAACAGGCATTTGTAAGACATTCCAGAGACGGGTGTGGCCACTGGGTCGAGACAAAAACAAATCAAAAAACCACCCTCCATCGTGTATGCAGTGGCTAGGTATCAAATGTGCTTGGTGCTGCTGTGGCTTGAAGAAGGGAGCACGAGGAAGGAAGTGCCCAGAAGCAGCAAGGAGGCCCAAGTGCGCCTTGAAAAGTCACAGCCCGGCTAAGTCGGCCCGGAGGCATCTGCTTCCAGCCTCATCTGGCAGGGTCTCTCCCTGAGCAGGCTGCCTCAGCCAGCAGGTGCAGCCGAGGAGCAGGGGAGGCCCTCCACAGGGCGGGTCACTGCGGCCAGTGACTGTTCCCACTTCCAGACCTGGGTCATGCTCCAACTCACCCAAACTGGGGGCAGCAACTTCTGCACATGTGTATCTTGGAGGCTCAACCGAAGTGCCTTTAAGAAGTCACATGACCTTCTGCCTCTCAGCGTGCAATCAAGCAAAGGTGTGTAACTTCTGAATCTTACTCATAAATGATCTGACTGTAGGTGCTCCAAAAGGACCCCGAGTGTTTCGTGTACCTTAATTTTAACTGTGCCTTTTGATGTATCATATTGAGGTAGCTGTTATGCTGTAGATTTGGGGAAACAGTAGTTGCTAAATTAATAATCTACTTATCGCACATTAAACAAAGGATTTTACTTGTGCCTTGAGCTTCTGCTCAGATCTTAGGACGCTGTCCTGTCTCTGGAACCCCCACATGATCCTTGAGGCTGTTCGCTCCCTTAGAGTTTCAGATGGCCCAGTGTAAGAAATGCATCCGAAATGCAGAAAGATACATGCTTGCTCTTAAAATGAAGAGTCCCTTTAAAACAAGGATAGCTCTCACAAGCATTCCTGAATGCACCATGCACCAAGGTTCTTCTCCTGGACTTCACATTCTTATTGACATATGTACACCTACTCTTTAGGGAGATGCTTGGAGTGCATCTCATCCGAGAGTTACAGGAAGGCCACAGGGAAACTCGAGAGCAAGGCGGGAAGAAAGCGGCTCACTGGCGCTTTGATGATTCCCACACTGTCCCTGCCTCTCACTTGTGCTGATGCAGTTGCCAGCATCCTGGTTTTGATGATGCTGGGCTTCCCCAAAACGGCCACTGGTGTGTGCAGCCCTCAAGGTGGCAGGGGCAGGATTCCGTGTGTGGGACACCCAGCTGGAAATGCCCGGGAGGACGAAAGGGAGGGACGCTGTGGGACTGGGGAGAGCGGGCCAGGCCAGCTCCGGAGCTGGAGCTGCCTGCTGAGTTCAGGATTCGTTCCTTGTCAGCCCTGCAGACAAAGGCTGGTTGTAATTTTGTGGTCTCTGAGGCATGTGGCACTTGTGGCTACAAACAGTGACTTGCCGAAGGGCATCAAGGTGGTAGTGAGGGGAGCTGCACCGCGGGCCGAGTTCCCCAGCAGAGGAGGGGCTCCGTGCTCTGGTCTGAGGCTTCTCGAACCTGTTCTGTCACATCTACCCCACTTCATGCTGACGTCTGCTGAAATCCAGCAGGCAATAAATGCGCTTTAACGAGTCCCTACTGGAAATGCGACAGTATTCTGAACGGGCGAATAATTTGTCCGTATCTGTCGGTGGACTGAGAAATCTTTGATTAGATGGCCCGAACATTCTGCGTGGCAATCAGTGACTGTTACTTAAAATGAACGGGAATCTGTGATTTTCTTCCCATCGGTACCAGTGAACGAATTCAAGTGACTTTCGAGCTGCGCTCTCTGCAGCCTCCTTCGTGGCCTCACCGGGAACATCGCTGGGAGTCTAGCCGGGCCCCAAGAGAGCCAAAGGCTCACTAACACTAGCAGTACAGAACCCGGTGACTTCGGCGGCAGAATGCATGAAATAAAGAGCTTTTAAAAATAAGTTTTATGAGAACAGAACCAGAGCGAGTGACTTTTCTGAAAGCCTGGGTCTTGAGGGTCCCTTTCTGAGGCCACGTCCGCCAATGGCATCTACCTGGGACACCTGAGAAGAGAGGCCAGTGGTCGACAGAGGCAACACAGACGTGGCACCAGCCCGAGGGGCCTTGTCTTAGGGAAGAAGGCCCACATGGATGTGCGTGCCCTCTGACTTGGGATGACCTCTGGACAGGTATCATTCATACGTGGAAATACTTTTATCTGCTTCCAACAGATCCTTTGATTGGCTCTCTCAACAAAATAAAAATGAAAACTACCACTAAGGTTTAATTTTGAGGAGGATGTGCCCGTTTGCACGGGCACATGTGTTCGCCTTTTCTAGTTGAAACCTTACAGTTTTATCGTTCTCTCTCCTGTTGAATTTCCATGATGCTGACCTTGGGAACTTTATCAATTTCAATCCTAATCATTCTTCCAGAGCAAGTATAGCGACCTTCTAGAGCCACGTTTTCTAGAGACGGAGGGGGAGGGGTGCCGAAGGCACAACCAGGTGCTACGACGAGCTGCCATGAGGCAGGGGGTCAGGGGCAGGTGGCTAGTGACACCCCTGCAGAGGTGTCAGCTCAGGTCGGGCTGGCCTGGAGGGCGGGGCTGCTGTAAATCCCCTGACAGGACATTTACGTACCACGGTGGACAGAAAGAGTCTTTCCAGGTCCATATGCTCTGGGACGAAAACCACTATCAACACTGCTTTCATAACCAGACCGGGTTGAGAAATGATCTTTGAGGCTGAAACAAATATTTCAGATGTTGGGAAAGCCGCCTTCCCTATGTAATTGGAAAACTGCCCCATGAAGGACTCTTTGCCTGTCCCCCTCATTCTCCACGTGGTCCCCTTGGGGCCCACGCTCCAAAGTCCTGTTTGCCTCGCCTTCTACACTCTCGGGAGCAGCTACTGCCACCAAGAGTTAAAAAAATAAAGCTGCGGGGTGCCTGGGTGGCTCAGTTGGTTGGGCGACTGCCTTCGGCTCGGGTCATGATCCTGGAGTCCCGGGATCGAGTCCCGCGTCGGGCTCCCTGCTCGGCGGGGAGTCTGCTTCTCCCTCTGACCTTCCCCCCCTCTCGTGTGCTCTCTCTCTCTCTCACTCTCTCAAATAAATGAATAAATAAAATCTTTAAAAAAAAAAATAAAGCTGCGTATTTTAAAAAGCAACACAGGAAAAGGCCAAGGAGCTGCCTTGACACATGGGGCCCAGAGGAACACTGACAAACAACTTGTCAGTTTGCCCCCGAAAACGCTATCATGGCCCCCAAACAATCTGACTCAGTTGGTTCTGATTTGATAGGAAATAGGTCAGAGGGATGGACAACTGACATACTTTCCGTTTGTCTTGCTCCTGCTGACTCCAGATGCCAGCTTGAAACAGGCAGAGCATCGAGTCCAGGGGGAGTCTTGAGATGCGGCTTTCTGGGATCTTCTATACAAACCTGGAAACAGGCCCTTCCGCCCTATTAAGTCACAACCACGAACACAGTGAAAACCAACCGACTGCTGTGTTTGGATAGCTTATCAAAGAATCCTCTGAAATTTTAAATCCTATGATTAAGAAACAGCACGTTGTCTGTCTTCAAATTCAGGAAACAGAATTAGAGTCTTCCCAATAAATATTTTGCTGTTTTTTAAAAACACCTAACCTTTGGATTCATCTAGATTTACAGGATTATAAAAGTTAAAAAGTGCTGATTAGTTTTTAAAATGATAAGGGAGCGCAACAGTCAAAAGGCAGCAAAAGGCGAAGACAGACCACGTATTTCGAGGTCACCAGTTAATTCAGCGCTATGTTACTCATGTGATATCAAGAAATCTGCATCGATTAATATCAGGTGAGTTAAAATCAGACCGCTGGGCATCATTCCCCTTAATTTTCTAAGAACTGCCTATCAGCTACCTGTCACCAGCATTTTAATACTTTGCACGTTCTCAGAAGTACTGGTGTGAAAAAGAAAGAAATGTGGTCTAGGGTTCCAGTTACCTAGGGCTCATCCGTCCCATTCTCTGAGGTGAAAATGGTGGAATTTGTGCAAAGCGATGTTGCTCCCGTTTCCCATCTGTAGTGCTGTTGACTTTAGAAGTCCTTGGCACGTGGCTTGTGTGTTTCACTTTCAAGCCCTCAGTACATGTCCCTGTAGATTTCTTGCAGCAGCGGGTGCAGGGCGGCGTCAGACTCCGTCTTTTTGATGACCTGCACGAGCTGCGCGTGCTCTGTGACGAGCTGCCGGAGGTCTGCCATTTTTTGAAGGAGTTTTGGGAAGAGGAAGGTGTTGTCTGGGTGGTTGGTCTGCAAGTGAAGTTTGAGCACGTGCACAATGCCCTCCTGCATTTTTTCAATGTGTCCCACGTTTAGAAGGCCGGGACGATCTATTCTCAAAAGAAAGAAGACATGTTTGTGATAATCACTCCACTGACGCCTCGTAACTGTTTATCGGTTGGGGAAACCAAACATTCTTATTTTATGTGGCCTTTCTTTCTTATTCCGCCTTTGACTCGGCTGGAAGACAGAACTCCATTCTTCCAAAGTCACTGGGCCTACTGGGCAGACAGGACAAATACTCGGTCCTAAATATTTGTGTACTACCTTAAATCGACCAGCTGCCCTGCAGCATGGCCCTTTCATTTTGGGTTTATCTGATTACCACCGATCAGGGGAAAAATCCCAAAACATTAGGAGTAACCATACATTCGGATGATGATTAAAACAACCAGTTTTGCATAATATGAAATGAAATACTTCTTCTTGAATGAAAACTAGATATTTGGTTTCAGGTTTTCCATCACCACGTGAAGGAGTGTGATTGTGTTAGACTTGGTTTTGTGGCGTAAAGCGCTGTGAGGGTAGGAATGCTACAGTCTTCCGGTACGAGTCAGCTGCATAGACTGGGGAACAAGGTGGCAGATGGTAGCTGCACAGGATGCTGCCGAGCCCCAGGGAGGCCTGAGGTCTGGTCCCGGCAGGTCAGCGAACACACCACACGCCCTCCCTGGGGTAGCTCAACCGCAGGCACCGGACCTCCCAGGCAGCCTGAGACCACGCGTCCTGCCTTGGGTCCAGAACACACCCTGTCCCCGTCCCTGTCCAATAGGCAGTGCTCTCTTCAAAGCCCCGTCCTTACTAGGATCGTTAAAAGTGTTGCTAAGGGTGTGGATTTTTTCATTGCTTTTTTTGGTTGTAAAATGAATATAATTACTCACTTTTTAAACAGATTAAAAAAAACAGAAAGCGAATCCCCCTCATGAGGTTTAATGTGTATTACACCAGACCCTTTTCTATATATAGGATTGATACATGATTTTTTTTTTTGAGAGAGAAAGAGCCAGCATTGGGGGGGGGAGGGGCAGAGGGAGAGAGAGAGACTCTGAAGCAGGCTCCCCACTCAGTGCGGGGCCTGATACTGGGCTCGATCTCGCGACCCTGAGTTCATGACCTGAGCCAAAACCAAGAGTCAGAGGCTTAACTGACTGAGCCACCCAGGTGCCCCAGGATTGATATATGATTATAATTTCTTTTAGAAAACTGTGCTCCTACCACTCATGAGGGTGGTGCAACTGCTTTTTACCCACAACACTACATCTTGAGCATACAAAGGACAAGGTTAGCTTACGTACAACTGTTCTGCATTTTACATTTTTTGCCAGAGCATAAGGACTCCCTCCACCTGACCGTGCACAGCTGGATAGTAACAGGGACAGCAGGGATGGGCCTTGTGGGGCTTCCGGAGTCTGGGCGGCTGTGACCAGCCTCAGCTCCACCAGTCAGCCAACTGTGGGGCACACCTTCTAGCAGTTTGTGGCGGCGGTCGGTGGTCGCCTCGTCGGTCTCCCCCAGGCTGGGTGAGGTCAGCTGAGTTTACAGTATGGGGATGACCTTCTTCTACCAGGACAGGGTTATTTAAAGGAACAGGACACTGAGCCAAAATTCTGGGAGCTGCAGAGCCAGCTTCCCTGCAGAGAGGCCCAGATTTTCCTTCACTGGGATCCATTTCCTTTGGCAAGGCAAACTGCAAACACCGCCAGTTAGCTACCGATATTTTTCATTATGAAATAGAATAAATATACCAATAGTGAGATAAACTGTACTAACATCTGTATGGCATTTCATAGAATACTGTCTATGATATGGATATGATACTATAATAATAGAATTCTATAACAATACACACCGTATATTATGATTCTAAGATGTATTAGATATTAGATATGTTAGATAAAATTATATTACCATTGCACCTAATATACTTGATATAGTTATATTATACTTGGAAATAGAATATCATGTATGTAACATAATTATGGATGGAACATATTTATATAATGTACAAATATGTATTTACATATAATAACGTATGCTATGCTATGATACAGTATAATTCTCACTTAATTCCCCGCGGTGGCGACGCAGGGGCTCAGACGCCCTCCCGCCTGCCAGTGTGCACTCCACTGGGCACCACTCACGCACAGACCAGATTTCCTGCTGTCCTGCGGGGATAGGAGGCTGCAGGTGACGTGGCACCACATTCGGCCAACGACTTACCTCCACAGCAAATTATAGCAGCCACAAAAAGGGAGATATCACTGTCGTCCAGCTCTAGCGCGTTGAACTTCATTGCAAAATCAAACTTAGGTTCCATGATATCACAAAACGGTTTCCTTAGGCTCTTTAGGAATTCACGAGTTATAAAACCATTTCCATATGCTACCAGCATCCCGTCTTTATTCATCACAGAAGACAGCATGGCAAATATGGCCTCATAAACTCCGTATTTCAGCAAAGTGACCTGATCATTCAAGTCCAAGTTGGCGAAGCCAGGGATGGACTTGGCGAACTCGGTGAGCTCGGTGACGGTCTCCACGGACGTGCACTGGCAGCAGTGGAAGATGCGGACTTCCGCCTCCTTGTTCTGGATGCCGTTGGCCACCAACTTGGCCACCAGAGTCTTCTCAGCCATACACAATGTCTCCATGTCGTGGATGACAAAGGGCTGCAAAGAAAGACATGGAAATGAGCCAGGTCACTGGTGACAGGCTGTCCTCTTAATTATCAATGAACTGATGAGCAGCCGCCGCCCGCAGGTCACCTGCGGAGAAGTGCAACAGGAACAAGATGTAGTCTTCGGCCTTAAATAACCTCAAAATTGGTTGGGGACACAAAGACATTCATAGGGAACTAGCGATACAAATCAGTAAGATAATCATCATCAGTGCCTGACACCGGGTGGGGATTTCATTGCTATGAAAGCTAAGTCCTGATTTCGGCAATAAAGCTAACGAGAGAATATCTGCAAAGCACTTTTAATACTTTGTAATATTCTCTGCACTCCTAAATACCTCTGCAATGGCCCTAACTACAATAGCTTTGAAATTTTTATCACTGAAGAACAGTTGACACACAATGTTTCATGAGTTTTAGGGGCATAGCATGGCGTGATTCGACACATCTACACATTAGGCAGTGCCCACCCCTCGAGTGGAGTCATGACAGTGTAACTACAATATTACTGACCGTAGTCCTCATAATGTCCTTTTCATCCCCAGGGCTTATTAATTTTATTACTAAAAATGTGTGCCTTCACCTCTTTCGCCCATCCTACAGTAATTCTTAATTTTACCATTTTATGAACTTTGGAGATAACCATTGTTACCTGACAACTGCCGTATGAGTAAATTTGGCAGGTAAATAGAACTCGGGAAGTTGGTGTTTGTGTTTGCGTAGCAATAAGCAAACAAGCATTGTTAAGCCCTTGCTCTCTGGGAGTAACCTGGGAAAATCTTGAAGGACCCTCACCTCCTTGTGTGTAAGACTGAGATCTGCACTTTGGTGCTCTGTGTTCTGGAACAAGTGCAAACCCCTGGGCCAGCAGCCTACATGTTGCCATATACCATTTGCTTCTAAGCCCACGGGTCCTGCCATTTTCTAAGTACCTAGTGGAGGAAAGAAGAGACGGTTGGCCCTATTATTTGAAGCCAGCATGCCCAGGAGGGATTATATTATCTGGTGGGCCACAGGGGAACAACATAAATGTTTTGTGCTGCTGCCCAAAATGTACACCGGATTTGTGCGCAGAGCAGAAGAAATGACAGTCTCTCGGCGATCTCTCTGATTTATAATGTGTTCTATAGATCAGTAATGAGGTGGGCTGAAGCATTATTTTCAGTTCCTACCAGGATGCATAAAATGTAGAATGCCTACATGATTTTAAGACCCACTCTGCCAATGGGCAAAACATGTCACTGACACTCTATCTGGCCCCACGGCACGATGTGTCCCCTATTCCTGGGCTCCCAAGAGCACCTGGAGGAATCACAGCAAAAAACCATCTTCAGGGCACCTGGAGGGTGTCCTTGTCTCAGAAGCAAGGCAAGCGCCTTGGAACAATGCAAGGGATTGTCTGAGAAATGTTTAACCAAAATCAGACTTTACAATGCAGCGTTGGATAAAAAAAACAATTTGATTCTAAGTCTGAAGAAAGGGGATACTGGAAAAATTACCTGTGCGTGAGTGAAAACAATCTGAATACAAAATTCAAAGCCAAAGTCCTGACCATCTCAAGTCTGGTTAAGGAAGACTAAAACCATCTCTTTCCAGAGACTGTAAAAGCAGGCCGGATTACTGTTGTTTGGGGAAAGTTTGGGGGCAGTTCTGTTTTCTGGGAAGTTGCTCACATTGAAGGAATTAACATTCTAGGGATACACAGCAGTATCCCTTCAATTCCAGAAAATACACTAGTAGGCCACCTTGGCTGTGTCACTGGCTTTGTAACCTTCGGCAGAAATAAAGGCATTAAAAACAAAAGTTGTGTGGCCCAAAGAAATTTGGGAAACGCTGAGATAAATGAAGTTAGGGCCTTCCAGAGTCTCTACCGCAGCAGGTGTGTGCTGGGGAAGCTTCAGGAACAGGGACAGGCTGGGCAGGGGTTCCCCAAATGTGTGATCCCAGAGCACTTGCGTCCTTTGCTGGAGATTCTCACGACCGGTGCGGGACCGGCCATGGAATTTGCAGGGCTTGGGGCAAAATGAAAACGTGGGCCCCCTTGTTCAAAAATGATGAAGAATTTCAAGACAGCGACAGCAGGGCATGAAATCCCGATGCGGGGCCCTTCCAGGCAAAGGACCTTGTGAAACAGGACACACGCCCGTGAGACCCGCCTGGGACTAGTTTTATGTAAAACATACTCTCGTAAATGGGGATGTATCTGGTACAAATACTTCATTTCATTTTTATAAAATTATCACTTGGATCTTAAGAAGGCAGGGCCTCATTAACAGACAAAATTAGAAACCATCTCAATTCAAAACCAGTGGTAACATTTAGAAACCAATGTTTATGGAAACTCAAGAGAAAATGCATATACTAACACGCTTGATAAACACTGTTGATAGGACTATTTAAAAAAAATCCATGCTGCTTATATTTAATTATGGAATGCGCCTTTTATACTTAAGTTTGAATATGAATGTATCTGACATCACAGGTGGTCATTTCAGATAAATAAAGCATGTTGTCAGGAGTTTAAATAGCACGAGCAGAAAGCTGCCCAGCCCCCCCCAAATCACTCCCCACCAAGACCAGAAGGTTCTCCTAACTGACATCTATCACTCGTGCTCACGCCTGATGGTGTTCTGTGTGTGTTAATGATGCCACTGACAAGAACTCATCTTTACATACATCTAAATAGCATTGTCTACATAAAATCAGGCAGCACCATGTTTTAGGAAAAAATTGTGATTTATTGGTACAATTGCTTCAGATGAAACCATTTAATAAGCTTTTGGTTAGATTTTACTACACGTTTCAAGAAACGGTATAAAATATTAAGAATGTTTTTCAGTCTTAAGGCAACTTAAGTTGTCGGTGTAATATTTCAGCGTAACGCTGTGGGCAAAACCCCACCACGTGGGGCAACATACCCCTAGAGCCATTTCAGGATGGCACCCAGGGGGCCCCTTGTCCCAAAGATCTTGAAACACTGAGAATAATGCTGAAGGCCCTTTCAAAACGCGTGTTAGAATCTATTCTCGGCCACGTGCCAAAATCTCATCCCCTTGCTTCATTCATTCTTCTCAGACAAGACACTTGACTGTTAGTGACTGGCTACAAAGCACTCATGATTTTGTCTAAAATTCAATTATCTTCTTAGAGGATACAGATTCTCCATAACTGAAGACATTCAAAGACTCTAAAGATTATTCCCGACAAGTTTGAGCAATATGGGAACCTTTGAGATAAACGTATGCGGTCCCCTTCATTTGAATGAAGAAGGTTATGACGGTCTGTGACATTACAAAATACGAGTACTAGTGCGTTCTTTCATTCCCACGGACTTCAATGCTCCTCACCCTCCCACTGCATGTGGCCTCCTGGAGAGCATTCTTGTGGTATTTTTAACACCTCAAGCGTCAACACACCAACTTTTTAAGACGCTGTTGAAAAGCACGTCTTTTGGAAGCCAAGTTCAGATGGGACTGATGTACCTCTGTGCCTCAGCTCTGCTTCTGTTTCTGCCACCCTCAAGTCATAGGGCAGCCAGGGCCCTGACGAGCTCCGACCAGGTCACTAAGGGCCCTGGTGGTTTTCTGGCCTCCGGTTCTGAAATCTCAGTGGCTCAGACCAGCCCCATGCCCAGACAGAAACACTCACTATCTCTCCCACCACCCTCAACCCTCAGCTAACACCCATATTTTCCCAAAACAATGGGATCTACATGCTTCCGGCAGCTTCCTTCCTCCTCCCAAGACCCTCCCTCCACCGTTTCCTGGCCACCTTCCCACAGCATCCCCCTCCTGGCCCACCCAGCCCCTAACCAGTTCTAGGTGAGCTGTAGGTCTTCGTGTTAGATGATCTACAGGCCACGGAAAATAGAAAAGCAGAGGCTGTGGCCCGCACTGTGAGCTCCGAGCTCAGGCCAAGGGGGACAGGGCTCCTTCCAAGAGCGTGCAGATCTCAGTGGGGTATGCAGAAGGATACTCCGTGGGAATGAAACTAATATTAAACAAGAGTGTTTGGTTAAGAGTAAAGTTGACTTTTAAGTTCCCTTTAAATTCTAAAAACCCAAGAGAGAAATGGAAGGAAGATCTCTCCTAACCATTTCCAGGAGAGAAACTCAAAATTAAAAGGTTACTTTGCTTTCACCCTTATGATCCAGAAAGGGTCTAATTTATAAAAGCCCCTGGGGCCTCCCAGCATGGGTGTAGTTTTACCAATTTAATAGAGTTTGCTTGAGCCCTTCTGAAATGTCTCAGCCTATTTAATTGGAGAATTTTACTGAAGAATTAAAGACTCAGTAAAAGAGAGGTTTGGTTTGTTCATGAAAGTAAGTTCCTTGTGAAATACTTCATTTTCCTGTGACTAAAAATTCCAGCTTGTAATTCCCAATCAGGATCGCTTTAAGCTACTCATTAGTACAAATTAAACCTGTTTTGCCATGCTCATAGGAAAAAGGTAAAATATCTTCATTAGCCAACCCTGGGCTGGCCCCTCTTTGAAGTAGCTCTGAGATCAGCTCTGCAATGGACACAGAGACTGAGCCGACCGCGGGGTTGGGGTCAGGTGGCAGAGTGCACTACAGAAAAAGCCCAGAACTGTCCAGAGAAGACAACGGAGTTTCTGTAAACAAACAGCCCTTTCTAAACCCAGAGATGTCCTTGCCTTTTCACTGAAGAAACAGGAGTGGGATGGGTGGGGGGCTGCAGGGCAGGGGGGTTGGAGAGGAGGGAGGAGATTTAGGGGAAGGATGCCAGAACACTGTTGAGGGAAAGAAAATGCTTTCATTTTCTGGCATTAAAATAGAAATTTAAGAAAAAAAAATAGAGGTTTTTAAAAAATGCATTTAAGAGATGACCCTAAGCTATTAACCAGATTTTTTCTTTTCTTTTCTTTTTTTTTGGTGTATTAATTACACAGTCATTGTAATGACCTCGTTGCTAGGAGCTCTGAGGTGGAGGAACCTGAAGATCGGAGTTGCTGATGAGCTGCCTCGGCCTGCTGCCTCGGGGCCCACACTGCCATCCCACCTTCCCGCCATCCAACCGTTGTCTCCTCAGCCCCTCCCTGTGGCCAGGGGGCCACCTCAGGTGGGAGCCCAAGCAGCAGCGAGGTCACCTACCGGGTTATTGCTGGCCTTCCCTGCGAGGATGACCCGGGCCTTGACCTTGTTCATGTTGAAGTTCTTGAGGTAGGCCTCGTAAATTCTCTTGGCGAGGGACTTCAGATCTGCCGTTTCTGCATCTTCTGGGTCATGTTCACAGGTGAGAATTTCCGCTTTCAGTTTTGCTTTTTCAGATCTTGGCATGCGTCCAAAGCGAATTGCTGGGGGCGGGAAGGGGGGGACACGGGAGAGAACGGGAAGGGGGCAGAGGTGAGCACTGGGGCGCACGGCAGGGGACCGGCTGCTGGGCGGAGAGCGCGCACCGAGAATTCAACCACGAGAGCAAAGCTGCCCCTCAGGACTAGTCAACGTTCTGTTCTGGAGAGAGGAAAATAAAACTCAACCCTCCATCAATTCTGGACCCTTTCAAGAGGTTCAAAGGAAAGGCAATCCCTCATTTCGTCAACAGGATCAGTTGAAGGTTGTTTCCTGTCATGAGGTCCCAAATTGACCCTTAGTTCAAGGAGATGGCAGTTTCCCCCAGGGCGAGTTCATGTGACACCTTTTTCTTTGTCCAGAAGGTGGACATGCAACTGCTAGGAATTAGTCATTTTAGATTTACCTTCGCGTCATCACTGGCGCGTTCTAAAGTGACAGTAGGGTTCAGAATAATGACGTTAGCCACATGGGACGGTGTTTGCAATGGCACATGCTTTGTGCAGACTCTGGGACCATTCTGGCGTCCTGGGGGCATTTCCAATCGGTCTGAAAACCTTCCATCAAAGTCTTACCAGGAGAAGTGTCTAAGGGGAATTGCAGGAGCTCTGCTGGGTCTCAGCTATGTGACCCTGCTCCCTTTTGGGGCTATTCTGGTTGCAAAATGATCTGGGCACGAAGTGTTGCCACACATTCATTCAAAGCACAGTCTGCAGCAACCAGACAAGGGGGGTAAGCTGAGGCACGGGCTGGGGAAGCACGCTAGACAACCTCACCTACCGTTATGGGACATCCCGGCCGAAAGGCACTTGTGGAAACGACAGTATTGACACTTATTCCGGTTCTTTTTCTGAATCTTGCAGCTGCGGTCACATTTGTCATAGGCCAGCTTCAGCCGGATGGTTCTCCGGAAGAAACCCTGTGGGATGGACGCACGGTTGGGGAGGGCCTACGGCGGCCGGTAAGTCAGCGCTGTGGCTTTACTCACGTTTCTGGTCATTCACTTACTGTACTTTCCAAATGGACTGAAATTAGCGGAGTCATTCTAAGAAGTCTGACTTAATTGGGACAAACTGAAAAATCTAAATTGCGTTACATGTAAGATGAAGAACTAACAAAATGAGGCAAAATTCAAAGTCGTTTCAAGACGTCCTCGTCTGGCTTGGGAAGACCCGGTTGTGGTCTCCCAGAGTCACTCAGTCCCGTTCCGATTCACACAAGTGTCACTTTCCCTCCCCAACTCACGTCCCGATTTGTGACTACACAAATCTCTACGTAAGAGAATACTAACTCCCTGAAAGACAAAAATGATAATAAACCAATAAAAGGAAGCCACCTGTTTGTAAACAATGTTCGTGCTTTACAAAAGCACTAAACTCTACCAAGAAACTTCAGTATTTAGTCCATGAGAAACAAAATGTAACACCAGGAATTCAGGCACAGCCAGGTAGGAAAGGCTATTTCACAGGTTCGTGGTCAGAAGGCTTGTGAAGGAGTCTGTATTTGCTTTGGTTCTTTTTCTGTTTGCTTCCCACTCATTCCTGCATAGTTCAGATGGGGCAGGTCCGGCGGGCCCGCGGGAGCAGGGACAGCAATTTCTTGGGGAACAGGAGGGGAGGTTGGCACCTTCCCTCAGTTGGATATCTAGGTCTGTAAAGTGGGATGGCCAGAGCAGGCACAGGATCATGAGGTTGAAGAGAGAATTCTGCCCGTCAGAAGGCAGCGTGGTCTTTCCTCCCTGCGGCCCAGGCCTCTGAGGCCAGCCCGGGCTCGGGCGTGGCATTGCTGTGTCAAGGACTCGGGTCGTGCCTGCACCAGGAAAGGCTGTGGTATCGTCCAAAAGTTGGTAAACTGTCTCAGCACGCACAGGGGAAGGAGATTTCTGATTTTAACCGAACACTGAGATGACGCGATCCCCCACGCATCAGGTACATGAAGTACCAAAGCTGGAGAGTGTACACAAAGTCCTAAAAGCGTGATGTGGGGGCCTGCCACCTCTGGTTGCCAGATCTTTCCAGTGATGATGAAAATCTGTGTTTAAAATAAAAGGAAGCACCTGTTGTCCCGAGCAGGGATTCTCCTCCCTGCCGGGGTCCACCGTACCTTGCAGCCTTCACACGCGTGAACTCCGTAATGGTAGCCTGAGGCTTTGTCCCCACAGATTCTACATTCAATGTTCAAGGCTATGCTGGAAGGTTCATCAACACTACCGGGAGCCACCGGGTAAGTGACCGACGAGGGGCTCGAAGCTGGTGAGAGGGTGTCTGAGAACAGAGGAGAAACACTGATGAGCATTCCAGACACCATCATCGATTTCTATACCAGGTTTACGAGGACATGATTGCATGTGGGAGGTGCCGGCTAGTGGGCAGACTTCCCTGCCTGGGCTGGCCCCTGTCCTGGGCTGTCCCACCCCTGCCCGTGTGCCTCCAGTTACCATTGTGGCATCCCCAAACCTGCCGCTGGGCCGCCCCTGGGTTCTGGACCCACATACCCAGCTGTCTCCCCTCCCCCACCCCAGCTCGGCCTACACACAATTTGTACTCTGCTTCCCTCCAGCTCTTCTGCAAATGTTAACTCAGTAAATCACACCAGAACACAGGATAAAAATCCGTGTGGGCTACACTGAAAGCAATAATCCATGAAAAATTACAAAAAAAATTAAGTTGGACTTTCTTAAAATTAAAAACTTCTTTCTGCTCTGCAAAAGACACCGCCAAGAGAATGAAAAAGACAAGCCACAGGCAGGGAGGAAATATTCGCAAAACACACATCTCATAGAAGACTTGTATCCAAAATACACAGAGAGGTCTTAAAACTCAACAATAAAACAAACAACTCAATTAAAAAATGGGCAGAAGATCTGAACAGATACCTCACTGAAGAATGGTAGCAAATCAGTATCACTTGTCATTAGGAAATTGTGAATTAAAATGAGACATCACTATGCACCTATTGGACTGGCTAAAACAAACAAACATGAGCGCCTGGTGGGGCTCAGTCGGTTAAGCGTCTGCCTTCGGCTCAGGTCATGATCCTGGGGTCCTGGGATTGAGTCCTGCGTCGGGCTCCCTGCTCAGCGGGGACCCTGCTTCTCCCTCTCCCTCTGCCCCTCTCCCTGCTTGTGTGTGCCCTCTCTCAAATAAATAAATAAATAAATAAATAAATAAATTAAATCTTTAAAAAAACTTAAAGAAACCCCTGACAACACTGCATGCTGGCAAGGATGTGCAATGACAGGAACGCTCGCTCGTGGCTTCTGGGACGGTAGAATGGTGCAGCCACGTTGGACGACAGTTTGGCAAAGCAGTCTTAAAGGAATAACACTCTAGGTATTTACCCAAGTGATCTGAGGACTAAGTTCACACAAAAACCTACACACGGATGTCTATATAAGCTTTAGTGTTAATCTCCCCAAATCAGAAGTAACCAAGATGCCCTTCGATAGGTGGAAGGATAAAAAGAAAAGCCAGTCTTAAAAGGTTATAAACTATACAATTTAAGGGCGCCTGGGTGGCTCAGATGGTTAAGTGTCTGCCTTCGGCTCAGGTCGTGATCCCGGGGTCCTGGGATCGAGTGCCGCATCGGGCTCTCTGCTCCTTGGGAGCCTGCTTCTCCCTCTGCCTCTCTCTCTCTCTCTCTGTCTCTCATGAATA